TATTGTAGGAATGGGAAAGTAGAAATCATTATATTTTATTGGGAAGAGAGATTTTTTAGGAATTGGGCGGAAAGTTAAAATTTCAAGATTTTGTTTTTATATATAGGATAGATTAGATGTGCAAAGATAATTGTATTACACTATTTTATAATTTTAGAATAGAATTTTTACCCAGAGTTATTGTAGGAATGGGAAAGTAGAAATCAATATATTTTATTGGGAAGAGAGATTTTTTATGAATTGGGCGGGAAGTTAAAATTTCAAGATTTTGTTTTGATATATAATATAGATTAGAATAGGAATTGTATTACACTATTTTATTTATAATATTAGAATAGAATTTTAAAGCAGATTTATTGTACGAATGGGAAAGTAGAAATCAATATATTTTATTGGCAAGAGAGATTTTTTAGAAATTGGGCGGAAATTTAAAATTTCAGGATATTGTTTTTATATATAGTATAGATTAGATGTGCAAAGAGAATTGTATTACACAATTTTATAATTTTAGAAAATAGAATTTTTACCCATAGTTATTGTAGGAATGAGAAAGTAGAAAAATCAATATATTTTATTGGGAAGAGAGATTTTTTCGGAATTGGGCGGGAAGCTAAAATTTCAGGATTTTGTTTTTATATATAGTATAGATTAGATGTGCAAAGAGAATTGTATTACACTCTTTTATAATTTTAGAATAGAATTTTTACCCAGAATTATTGTACGAATGGAAAGTAGAAATTAATATATTTTATTTGGAAGAGAGATTTTTTAGGAATTGGGCGGGAAGTTAAAATTTCAGAATTTTGTGTTTATATATAGTATAGATTAGATGTGCAAAGAGAATTGTATAACACTATTTTATAATTTTAGAATAGAATTTTTACCAAAAGTTATTGTACGAATGGCAAAGTAGAAATCAATATATTTTATTGGGAAGAGAGATTTTTTATGAATTGGGCGGAAATTTAAAATTTCAGGATTTTGTTTTTATATATAGTATAGATATAGATTAGATGTGCAAAGAGAATTGTATTACACTACTAGTTTTTTACGCGCATTGCGGGATTAGGATAATGCACAATGCTTTTTTGTTAAATAAGTACTTTAAAGTATATTAAGGCAGGATTATATTGAAATTGTTCATGCATAGATAATTGTAGGTTGAATTTGCGTATTTAAATAAGTAATTATTCTCCCAAAGGTTGAGTCCCCAACCCCAAGGGCCCCCCACACTCCAACCCGATAGAGCATTGTGGGAAGTTGTAAATCACGGTGACTCAATGGTTCAGCAGACAGGGCCAAATGCTGATACGCACAAGGAATCTACCCACTTTGGACATAATTCCCGCATTGCCGCCGCCGAGGTTCAAACCTTGGTCTCTTCTCCCAAATACTACCCACTAAACCATTGAGCTAAGCCCGTGCGAGTTAAATATGTAATTCTAAGTTTACAAATGCAAGATAATATAGTTAAGATTGATTATAATTGTCAATAAAATAATTGTATAGGTATAGTTGAAACCAAATACGGGACATAAGGGAGAACAAATAAAAATTATGCCATAAAAAATTAAATATATACTAATATTGTTTGAGGAGATTCCGACATTAGGATTTGTGGTTAAGTTCTATTAAGACTTTAATATTAGAATTAGATTAATGGCGTAGTTATAATTCTATATTAGACTTTAATATTAGAATTAGACTAACGGTGAATTAACGGAAAAGTTAAATGGATAATCATATAATTAAGGATAAATTATAAAATCTTAAAAGAAAAAAATTAAAACCTGAACAATATGAACCATTCATTTGATTTAATAATTTGGCGGTCATTTTTTCTACCCAATGTTAACAATGAAATAAATTCGCTGATCAAATCCGCTAACGCTAACTGTTAACTGCTGATTGTCAAACAAAGACATTGCGAGGTAGTTCTCACTTCAATTTGTTGTGTGATTTGAATACTCTATCACAAAATCTTCCAAGTAGTTAATATGGTTGGCTTTATTAATTATATTTTTTTTAATTTTTTCATGGTATTAATAAAATACTTGGTAAATAAATATATAGCATTATTTTGTATTATAACTTTGATATTTAATTAGAAAAATAGTGCACAAAAAAGATAATAGATAATGTAGTGAATATAATCAATTGATGAAGTTGAATGTAAAAATTTGTACATTTGAGAAAAATTAAGACAATATAACTAATGAAAATATTTCTTTTAATTAATTTTTTGATAATTAATAATTTTTGTTCACTGAATAAAGACATTGTAAGGACAATGTAGCGAATATAATCAATTAATAAATTTGAATATAAAGAATTTTTATATTGAAGAAAAATAAAGACAATATAACTAATAAAATTATTTCTCTTATTTAATTTATTGATAATGAATAATTTATTTTTTTTGAATAAAGACATTGTGGACACATAATTCTAAATTAAAGAAATGCATATGTATTATTTTTTGTTGTAACTACTAAATTATTATTTATATATAATTTAATAAGAGTAAAATAGAGTACTAATTATGCCAACTTTGATTAGGATGGGGTTCGAACCTAAGACTTTTTTTTTTTTTTATTGAAATCAATGAGTAAGTTAACGGTGAACTAACGGCAATTCTTAAAATTTTAACGGAATTAGTAACGGTGTGTGGGTATTTTAGAAAATTTTAGTGTAAAATTTAAATCTGATCAATCTTTTAATCAATCTGAGCCATTTATTTGATTAAAATCTGTGACCGCCATTTTTTCTACCCATTATAGGCCTAACTCTCTTGGGCTCTTATTAGTATAGTAGATTTAATAATTTTAGAAAATAGAATTTTTACCCAGAGTTATTGTAGGAATGGGAAAGTAGAAAAATCAATATATTTTTTCGGGAAGAGAGATTTTTTCGGAATTGGGCGGGAAGCTAAAATTTCATGATTTTGTTTTTATATATAGTATAGATTAGATGTGCAAAGAGAATTGTATTACACTCTTTTATAATTTTAGAATAGAATTTTTACCCCGAATTATTGTACGATTGTGAAAATAAAAATCAATATATTTTATTGGGAAGAGAGATTTTTTAAGAATTGTGCGGGAAGTTAAAATTTCAAGATTTTGTTTTGATATATAGTATAGATTAGATGTGCAAAGAGAATTGTATTACACTATTTTATAATTTTAGAATAGAATTTTTACCCAGAGTTATTGTACGAATGGGAAAGTAGAAATCAATATATTTTATTGGGAAGAGAGATTTTTTAGGAATTGGGCGGAAGTTAAAATTTCAGGATTTTGTTTTTATATATAGAATAGATTAGATGTGCAAAGAGAATTGTATTACACTCTTTTATAATTTTAGAATATAATTTTTACCCAGAATTATTGTACGAATGGAAAGTAGAAATTAATATATTTTATTTGGAAGAGAGATTTTTTAGGAATTGGGCGGGAAGTTAAAATTTCAGAATTTTGTGTTTATATATAGTATAGATTAGATGTGCAAAGAGAATTGTATAAAACTATTTTATAATTTTAGAATAGAATTTTTACCAAAAGTTATTGTACGAATGGCAAAGTAGAAATCAATATATTTTATTGGGAAGAGAGATTTTTTAGGAATTCGGCGGAAATTTAAAATTTCAGGATTTTGTTTTTATATATAGTATAGATTAGATGTGCAAAGAGAATTGTATTACACTATTTTATAATTTTAGAAAATAGAATTTTTACCCAGAGTTATTGTAGGAATGGGAAAGTAGAAAAATCAATATATTTTTTCGGGAAGAGAGATTTTTTCGGAATTAGGCGGGAAGCTAAAATTTCAGGATTTTGTTTTTATATATATTAATATAGATTAGATGTGCAAAGAGAATTGTATTACACTCTTTTATAATTTTAGAATAGAATTTTTACCCAGAATTATTGTACGAATGGAAAATAAAAATCAATATATTTTAGTGGGAAGAGAGATTTTTTAGGAATTGGGCGGGAAGTTAAAATTTCAAGATTTTGTTTTTATATATAGTATAGATTAGATGTGCAAAGAGAATTGTATTACACTATTTTATAATTTTAGAATAGAATTTTTACCCAGAGTTATTGTACGAATGGGAAAGTAGAAATCAATATATTTTATTGGGAAGAGAGATTTTTTAGGAATTGGGCGGAAGTTAAAATTTTAGGATTTTGTTTTTATATATAGAATAGATTAGATGTGCAAAGAGAATTGTATTACACTATTTTATAATTTTAGAATAGAATTTTTACCCAGAATTATTGTACGAATTGGAAAGTAGAAATTAATATATTTTATTTGGAAGAGAGATTTTTTAGGAATTGGGCGGGAAGTTAAAATTTCAAAATTTTGTGTTTATATATAGGATAGATTAGATGTGCAAAGAGAATTGTATAACACTATTTTATAATTTTAGAATAGAATTTTTACCAAAAGTTATTGTACGAATGGCAAAGTAGAAATCAATATATTTTATTGGGAAGAGAGATTTTTTAGGAATTGGGCGGAAATTTAAAATTTCAGGATTTTGTTTTTATATATAGTATTTTTTTTGAATGCTGTTTTTATATATAGTATAGATTATGTACATTCTTTTTATACAATTATGTACATCCGAATTAGAAAATTTGTGTGTATTATGTTAAGAGTTGATGTGTATTATGTTAAAAGTTTATGTTTATTATGTATTATGTTAGATTATGTGTATTATCTTTTAAAAAGAGTATGTATATTTTGTTATATAATTATGTACATTCATGTATACAATTATGTGTATTTTAGTATAACATTATGTACATTTTTTAACAACGAATTTTTTTTTTAAAAAAAATAAATTACTACCATCCACTGGGGCGAGAAATTTCAAAAAAATAAATAAATAAATAAAACGACGTCGTTTTGTATCTGGGCGCACAGTGCAACGCGCGCCGTGGTGTAGGATATAAATTGCCTGCAGGAAGGCCCAATTTTACGACCACTCATGGGCCTCGGTATGGGCCGAGTTACCCAAGTTGATTTCGGGTCGAACACATGGAAATATAGAAACCAGAGAAAATAAACGAAAAATTAGCAGCACGTAAAAAGCTCTCCAAAAGGCGGCAGGGTATCCTTACAGATCGGAAAAACTGTCGACCGGAGAAAATATTCTCTATCCTCAGCATAATTCTTCATCTCAGCCGTTGTCGCCGCCTGCATGGTATAAAACATGGAGTATAGAAACAAGCTGGTCTTGGCTCCAATGGTTCGAGTAGTAAGACCTACAAGTCTTCACGCTGCTTACTGTTCTTAGATTTCCTCTGTTATTCGCATTTCGTGTTAATTGCTTCCTTTGAAACGCCAATTTTTGCCTTTTAAGTTTCTTAGGTCTAATAAGCATCTAACTAGAAGAATTTGAAGTTCTCTGTAGACTGTAGTGATAATAGCACCATAGCTACCCGGTTGGATTGCTGGGGTGTAGAATTGTGAGAAGTATATAAATTGCAGAATTTGCTACTCCTGTACCATTTGACGTGTCATGTTTATTATTCTTAATCAAAAAACTCTTTCTTTTTTTTGCTTATTTTCTTTAGTAATGTTTTTTTTTTTTTTTTTTTTGATTTTTTTGTGTTCAATAGTACTTTAGTTTCTAAATATATAAATTTTGTATACTAATACTAAACTTAATATTATGAAAATTTGGTTTGTAAATCAGTTAAGCCTTGTTAACCGAAACAGACACATAAAATGGGACGGAGGGAGTATTATTTTGTGTCTCATGGTAGGAGTATTAAGTAGTGCAGTTTTTGGACAGAGAGTTAATATTTTAACAGGGCACCCTGCCACTTAGGTTGCTAGCGGCTGACTATGGTGCGGACATAACATATGGAGAGGAGATTATTGATCACAAACTGCTCAAATGTGAGCGCCAAGTCAACGGTAGTGTCCTTTTTCTTATTTGTTATCTAATGTGATTGTTTTTAAGCTCTTAAGTTTTTATTTGGAATGGCATGTACTAAATTACAGCTATTTAGCCCACTGGTGAAGTTGTCAATTTTTGAAGATCATGGAGTTTGTGTACTGAGGTGTTGCATGAGTAGACTTTAATTTTCCTTTGATACCAATACTTCTGGCAATCAAAATCATTCTAAACTAAGGATAGCGTATAAATCGCAGTGTGGCCCTCTTTCAACACTCAACAGCATTATATTTACTATTTGTACTGTACAATATTATTGGGATTCATAACAATGAACAAAGAGCTTTAAGGTTTTTTATTCATATATTTAGTTTTACAATATCCATTTTCTATGTGGAAATTTGCTCCTTTCTGATAACTGATTGATTGCCCAATGCCTCAAGGAATAAGCTGATAAGTTTTCCTATTCTCTCATAGATTCCTTGGGGACTATTGACCTCGTGGAAAAGGGAACTGGCAGTGTTGTTTTCAGAACATGCTCTGAAGAAAGAAGTCGAGTTGTATTTCAAATGGGCACTTCTGATGCTGTGAGGGCTCTTAGTGCTGCTCAGATGGTGTAAGTTTGTTGTGGACATTCTTTTCCTGATAGAATAATCATAACGAGAATCATAATGAGATTATGCAGTGTGCCTTTTTTTAAATCCATATTGTATTGGATGGGATAATAGGGATGAAACTGGAATGTATGCTTCCAATCTGTGCTCTTTTCTAACTGCCTTGTCTTTGCAGGTGCAAAGACGTTGCTGCAGTGGATATCAACATGGGTTGCCCTAAGTCCTTCTCGATCTCTGGAGGAATGGGTGCTGCATTGTTGACTAAACCAGAGCTTATCCATGATGTATAATTGCTTTTTTCCCAACCTGTAAAACTTTTATTTTTGTTAACATCTTGGGTTGAGTCACTTTCACTAGTAAATGATCTTTGTCTGTTTTCATTGAGTCCAGATTTTGACAACATTGAGGAGGAACTTAGATACACCTGTAACATGCAAGATTCGGCTGTTGAAATGCCCACAGGATACAGTAGAGTTGGCAAGACGAATTGAGAAAACTGGCATCTCTGCCCTTGCTGTCCACGGAAGGTAATTTCTTGAATCACTACTTATCTAACCTAAGCATACTTGTCTACTGTATTTTAATCTCAATTTAAACCTTCCTTAATCAATTAAAACTGGGATAAAATGCAGCATTTCTTTACTATTCTCAATGATTGAATTTATCAACTCAAGTATGATATTTTAGACAATTACGGAGTAAATAATTCGTCACAGACTGGAAATTTTTTGTATTTAACTGTAGGAAAGTTCCAGATAGGCCAAGAGATCCTGCTAAGTGGAATGAGATTGCTGATGTTGTAGCAGCATTATCTATTCCCGTTATCGCAAATGGTGATGTTTTTGAATATGATGATTTTCAAAGAATCAAAGATGCAACAGGTACTTCAATAATTATTTGAAATGCTTCATATTTTCTTCTCCATATTTCTTTGCAAACTCATATTCTTTATTGCCCTATTGTGGTAAATTAATACTTCGAGGTATGGATACTAGTAGATGGACGGCACCAAAACAAAGAAAGTTCATGTTATGTGTCTCTCAATTTATTTCTATATATATATATGAAGGATATTGTGTTGGCTAGCATCTTTTAATTCTTAAATTTTGGCTGTAAACAACATTTTATGTTCATGTAAATTTTCCTCTCCATATCCCTTCACTTAGCAGAATCCTTGTGCAGTAGGTCTCACCTCTTAAAACAATAAGGACAACTTGGAATTTAATGAAGTAATAATGACACTGAGGAGGTGGATTACTATAGGATCTTGAGATTAGTGAATAACAATATTAATCCTTTCATATATAAACAAGCTTATTAAAAAAAATTAGCTGCTTTTTAGGCAAAGTAATGCATCAATTACTTAAAAGAACTCATGCTTCAAAACTGCCTATTTGCATTTCATTGTTTTCTTCTTTGGTCCCACTTCTCAGCTTTTTGGTTCTGCCCTGAATATTTTTGTTATGTACTCCGTACTAATATTACTACATGCCTGTTTCTGCTTATAGTATTGCAATTTTCAGGATTTAATGTATTTGACTGTAGGTGCATCATCTGTGATGGTTGCTAGGGGAGCTCTTTGGAATGTTTCTATATTCTCTCCTAAAGGCAAAATACCTTGGGAGAATGTGAAACGAGAGTATGTGAGAAAGGTAATTTGCCTACTAATATGAGATTAAATCCTTGCACTGTTTTCCATATTTGTTCATCCATTTTACCTAATGGAGTAAACATTTTAGGATAGTTAAATTATGGTGATTCCAGAAATTGAAATTGTTGTGTAAAATATTTTCAATTATGTTTTGTTGCTGAACTTACCCAATCTGCTCCTTGATTTGTAGAGTATCCTGTGGGATAATGATCTCAAAAGTACAAAACATACATTGAAGGAAATGATTATGCATCATTCTTGCCTTGAACTCCCCGAGGGAAAGGCTGTAATTAGATCAGAGACCTTGGAACATCTTGCGTAAGTTTGATTTGCAATGCTAAGTTCTTTAAACTAAATCATATATTCTTAAGTGCAAGTTTTTGCCTTGGGTGGACTAATTTGTGCAACTTTATAATTATGGATAAAAAATGAAATAATGGTTTTCCATTCTTGTATTTTCTATATATGGGCTGCCCAAGCCCATTTTGTATTAGGAAAAATGTATTTTGAATGCCATTTGTATTTCTCTAAATTAAAATCAGCAAGAAAACCCTCATCTTCCTTCTTAGCTTATGAACTCTCAAGCTATCCTAGTCTCTAAAATCCTTGACCCCTCTTCACATAAATTATACCAAATCATTCCCCACTCCTTGAAGAGCAACCCCATACCAATTTCTCCTTCCATTAAGCTTAGAAATTCAGAAAACCAAAACCTTGGATTTTCCTTCAATCATGCCAAGGGTGAAGACAACACATGGTGAAGAGAGCTCGGGGAGCAAGAAATACTTGGCCCTTGAAGGTAAAACATTTGAGCTTACTCATTTTTCTAGTGAAATAATTTGTTGGAATTTCAAGGCTATTGAATAAATTCTTGTTGATTGATGAACTTATCTATCTTGAGTTGGTAAAAGAGTTTTATAAGAATATGGATATTAAAGAAGTTAAGGGAGCTACCATCATCAATTCTTCTATTAGAAAGGTGAAAATTAAATTGAGCTTTCCTAAATTAGGAAAAATGTTTCAATTAACATTCACTGGGAGTCTGGGTAGTAGAGAAATTAGATTGAAACTAAAGAGATAGATTATCGTGACTTCATAAAATACATGCTTGATAGGGAAGATGACTTATATGCAAATGATAGGCTTACAAAAATTGAGTTGAAATGGTGAACAAAGGATCCTTACTATTCTTGTGAGTGATTATTATGCAAAATAGGAATAAAATCAAGGAAATTGGATTGGAGTGTGTTTTTCTTATTTCCTCAAGTATAGAGTGAAGTTTAATTTTTCAGTTCTTATGATTGAACACATGGCACTTTGCAATCAATCCAACAGAAAAAGTGAATCTTATAGGAGAAGCTACGAAGCACTCAATTAGAATGATCATTGATGCTTCACTTCAAACACGAAATACTTTGATTTGTACCAAAGTGAATGAAAAGGAGTACTTTACTCTTCATGAAATCAATCAAAAACCCTTGGAAGAAAGAAGAGTACTGATTGATCGGCTTAAAATTTTTAGCAAAAGGGCTAGGGCTTAAAAGAATTGTAGGATCATTTCTTCACCATTCAACAGAATTTTTGTAGGCCTATTATTTGCATATAAGTCATCTTTCCTACCAAGCTTGTATTTCAAGTAGTCACAAGAATCTATCTCTTTAGTCTCCATCCAATTCTCTATTATAGTTTGTAATCCCAATCAATGTTAATTGAAATATTTTTCCTAATGTAGGAGGGTTAATTCAATTTTCACCTTTTTAACAGAAGATCTTGATAACCTCTTTAATAAACTCTTTTTCTAACTCAGTATTATAGACAAATTTATCAATCAACAAGAATTTATTCAATAGCCTTTGAAATTTCAACATGCTAAATATCTCATTGGAAAAAGTGAGTAGCATCAAATGTTATACCTTTAATGACCAAGTATTTCTTGGCCATGAAGCTCCAATCTCATGATTGAATGAGAAATTTGAGGTTTCGGGTTTCTGAATTTATAAAGCTTAATGGAGGGAGAAATTGGTATGGTTGTGATTCTTCAAGGAGTGGGGAATGATTTGGTGTAATTTATGTAGAACTTTATTTTAGAAGTTATTATAGCTTGAGAGTTCTTTAGCTATGGAGGAAGGTGACAGACTGCCTGATGCTGGGAGGAGGTGAAAAGGGTTTTCTCTTTAAAGTTTGATGCAGCTATCTGTGGGATTCTTGGTGCATATGTTTTCCCTACATTTAGGGACTGATTGTTGCTATTATCTGCAGTATTCTATGCACTACATTGAGCAATTGAATGTATATTTTCTAAAATAGTTCAGATGTAACTAAATAATGATCACTGAATTACAGGTTTTCATTATGAATTTCAAAGAGTTATTATACCCACCCTATATTCGACTTACAGGATCTTTGGAAACAAGTAGAATTTAGAAATAGTGTAAAGAACTATGGAATGCTTTGGATCTCTCATTCTTTTGGCCTTTCATGTTTTCATTCACATTGTAGCCAAATTTAAAGCATATCCAAACGGTAAATATTATGTAATTCTATGGCAGTGGGATGGATGTTAAGAATACTTGTCTCAGACAATCTTCGAGGAGAGGGATAGGGTGTCTATTATTGATTGCCTAACTGCTTTGTGTTTAACATTTCAGGCAACTTTATGGGGAAGAAAACTATTTTCAACAAGTTACTAAGAACAGGGGTGTCTTTGGAGGAGGATGAAGATGGTATTGATTGGGTGTTACCCTATTTTTTTTCAGAAATTCATACAACCAATTCAAGTAGTCCCTTTTCATGTCGATGTCACTTTAATATCAAACATAAATTACATTTTATGTCATGTATTTTTAGTAACACTAAAATAGAACAGCTGTTGTATGTATCTCAAAGAATATAGTGAACAGGAAAGCAATAGTAGACAGGATGTCTCAGGTCGGTTAGGGTCTAACTCCATTTTCAACTGATTCTTGTGAATTCCATTTTTGGCTATATATTCACTTGACAATTGGGGAACAGTCCCTTTTTATCAAAAATTGGGAACAGTCAAAGCTTTGAATGCTTTTTTTTTTTTGGTTAGAGTTAATTTCATTTTTGGTCCTAAATTTATAGGTGATGCAGTTCATATTTGGTCCTTGTATCATTATGGTATGATCATTTTTTATTCTCTATCAACAAAATAATTTTAATACCGTTAAATACAAAGTCATTTTGGTCTTGTTACGAATTTTTCAAAAAAAATAAACATAAAAATATAGTTGGGGCCAACTCACATTATATAAAAATAATTGAAATATTTTTTATATTTTTTTTTAAGTTACTAACTCTATTACATTGTAGTATTTGTTCATCTATACTTTCTCAACCTGTTGAAGTACAAAAAGTCAACACTGCCTTTACTGAGGCTTGATCTAATTACCTCCCATATGAGAGTCACTACATGACATCTGAGCACAAGGTGCTTGACAAATATCTTTGTATTTAACATAAAAATGATTGAAATATCTTTATATTTAACAACATTTCAACGATTTTGTTGACAGAGAATCAAAAATAGTAATGTCACAATAATATTAGAACTTAAAAAAAATGATTAAAAGTGAACTATCACCCATAAATCTAAGGCCAAAAATGGAATTAACTCTTTTAATAGTGAAAAAAAAAAAAAAAACCTATGATCTAACCCAACTACTGCCTGGTTGCTTTATGACCCTATATCTCTGCATCAATTCTCTAACACTAGCTGATTCCTCCCACTTCCCTGCATCAGCATAAATATTTGATAATAGCACATAAACTGCTGGGTTATTCTTTTCAGTTTCAAGAAGAATTCCTGCAACAATTCTTCCTAATCTTGTATCACCATGAGCTGCAGATGAACTGAACAATGTCCACCAGACAGTGGAATCTACCTCAATATTCTTGGTTTTTACTATCTCTTCTGCCTCGTCGAGATATCCAGCTCGGCTTAGAATATCAACAATGCAAGAGAAGTGCTCCACTCCAGGCTTAATGCCATAGTTATTGACCATAGAGTTAAATATTTGAATACCATCTTCAACTAAACCTGCATGACTACAAGCTGAAAGAACTCCTGTAAAAGTTGCTTTGTCTGGTTCGACCCGACCTGAATCTACCATCGTTTCAAAACAATGGACTGCTTCCCCTCCTTTCCCATGCTGTGCATAGGCAGATATCATTGAATTCCAAGAGACAACATCTCTTTCAGTCATAATCTGGAACACCCTTGTAGACCAATGTAAAATCCCACACTTCGAGTACAGGGCAATCAGAGTATTACCTATAGAAGTTTCTAAAAATGATCCAAATTTAAGAATGTATCCATGAATCTGCTTCCCGTGTTGGAAAGAAGGAATACCGGCACATGCACTCAAGACAGTGCTGAGAGTGTAAGCATTAGGCGTCAATCCTTCTGCTAGAAGCTCACTAAACAGGTTCAAACTCTGCATAGGAAATCCATTTGATTGGCAACCGGAAATTATCGCGTTCCATGATATCAAGTTTCTGGTAAACATGTCGCGAAAGTATCTATAGGCCTGCTCTATTTCACCAAGTTTACAAAAGGCAGAAACAATTGCATTTGAAACTTCAATTTTCAAGATAAGCCCATTCTTGATTACTAGGGATAGAATCATCTCAGCATTAGCTACTGATTGTGAGCTTGATAGTAAGCTTCCTAAAGTAAATTCATCTGCCACAACCCCTTCCCTCTGCATTTCTAGGTAAGCCAAAATCGCTTCTCCACCCAAATTCTCTTGGGCATAGCTTGTTATCATGGCATTCCATGACACAATATCCTTCTCTTTTATTCTTTCGAAAATCAAACGAGTGGCTTTTAAGTCCTGACAATTGGAATACATGGTCATTGCAGCATTACTCACAGAAGTGCAATCTCCAAAACCCTGTTTCACTACTAGTGCATGAATTTGAGTTGCAGTCATTGGATCAGAACATGAACTCATTAAACTGACAAAAGTCAGCCCAGTTGGCATCAGATAAATATTTCTCATATGATTGAACATCATTAATGCCTCCTCATTTCTTTCCATGCTCACTAGCCCGGCAATCATTGCATTGTAAGTTATTTGATCAACCACTTCATCATCTGCATCTTCGAAAACCCAACATGCATCCACAACAGATTTACAGTTAAAGTACATTGTCACCAAAGCATTGATAACAGAAGTTGTAGCCAAAAACCCAGTTTTGACAACCATTGAATGCACTTGCCTCCCCAAACCCCATAGTTCCAAGGAGCAGAGACTCAAGACACTGGCAAAAGTGTAATTATCATGTGAAACACCCAAAGAATGCATTTTCTGAAACAAATTCAACGCAACCTCATCATCATCAATCTCTGCACAGCCAGTGATAATCGCATTCCACACAGCAACATCTCGCCGCGACATTTGATCAAATACCTGGAGAGCATACTCCACTTCACCAAGCTTTGTACACGCAGACAGTAATGTCGTCCACGAATAAACATCTGGACTCTGAATTTCGCTGAAGAGCCTTTTGACACCGCACAAATCTTGGGACTTGGCATAGAAGGAAAGTAGGCCATTTGAAACATGGGAAAAAGTTGTTAACCCAGCCCGTAAGCCAAAGGCGTGGAGTTGAGCGCCGAAGACAGTGTGTTGGATGCTGGCACAGGCAGTGAGGACGGTGGAAAGGGTGTAGTGGTCTGGTCTGAGAAGGTGGGAGGAGTGAATGTGGTGAAAGAGGTGGAGAGCACTGTAGAATTGGCGGCAACGAGTGAAATCAGCAAGAAGACAATTAAGTTTGATGAGGTGCTCTCCGAGGTTTTGTGGTATGCCCATTAAGAAAAGCCGGAGTTCTTGCTCCTGAAGGCTGAAGCCAATTCATATCAAACGTTTTACACCAGGACCCTGTTTTTTGAAGCAAAATAAAAGGAATATTATTACTGTAAAGAAATCAAATAACAAATGTAACTAATGGGATTGAAGTTCTCTATCCCGGGACCAGATTAAGAGTCTGTAGCCTTAGCAAGAGTATAGGATTGATTGACATGACGAACTAAAACAAAGGCTATAAAACTAATTAACAATAAGCAATTCTTAATCACAATACTAGCATAACTGCATAAGAAAGATCAACTAAATTCTTGTTTAGACTATGACATACTAGGCCTGCAAACAAGCAATATTAGCTACAGCAAATAATGAAAACAGTAAGGACAATATTAGCTACAACAATCCTATATTAACAATCCAATTCTTAAAGTTATCCCTACATATACAGCATTACAGATTGCTGTGTGTTCTTCTCAACCATAATCATCCAAAATCAACCTTATAATAAAATAAGATATCTACTGCTGTATGATCCCATCATTATCACAAACTGACACAACCATTGGCTGTAATATATAAGACAGATAATTTAGCATACACATTAAAAACGTCTGTAAACCATGAAAACTCAACTCTATCCTTTTTCCGAAGCTCGGAAAACCTGTTTTATTTGCATTATATCAGAGAAACTAGCAATATTTATTTTTTCATTAGCAAAGGTTTCCGGTTTTCCTAGACACGGCCGTGTCAAGGCCTCTCAGTCACTCAGTCCGTACTCCCATAGATTTCAATGAAGAAAACATACCCAGATTCGCAGGGGAGGGAGGGAGACAGCGACCGCAGCGTCGTCGGCCTAACCTTCTTCGTCTTCTGCTTGCTTCGTCGGCGGCGACGGCTGCTACTAGCTTCGTCGTCGGACAGAGACTGAGCGTTTGGCACTTTGGCTTCTGCTGGAATCTGTTATGGATTCGTCTATCTGTTAGATGTTAGTATTTAGGAATTTGTTAGATTTTAGGAAATGAGGAATAGGGATTTAGGGATGTTAGTATTTAGGAATTTAGATTTTAGGATTAGGTATTTGAGGGTTAATTTTTAATTGTTAAAAGGTTAATTTTATAAAGTATTATTATTAGTAATTGTCCCGTGCGAAGCACACAAATTATTATTAATTTAATAAATTAAACAAATTTATCAAATTAAATTTTTGACATTCTTTGAATTAGCAAAGAAAGTAATGATTGTGAGAATAGATAAACGTACTTGAGTTTTTGAGCTCAGAATTAATTTGATTAAAAATGTAAGTATAATTATACAATGTAATATTTAATATTTTTAAAAGTTTAATTATGCTATTATTATGTTGATTTTAAAGTTTATTGTTTTTTTTTTTTGAACAAAAACGAGAAACTTTCATTAATAACTCAAAAAACCGGAGATACATGTAGGCGGGATAACAGCCCACTCTCCCAAAACAGCCGAAGAACCAGTTGTCTGTGCTAACTCATTAGCCACTCGGTTCGCTGATCTCATTACATGACGGACACAGACGTCTCCAATATCATTCGCAATGGAAAGACATTGCTTAACTACTAAACCTGTATACGAATAATCAGATAAACATGAATTGAAAGCATTACAGAAATTTAAACAGTCAGTCTTAACAATGACATGATTATATTGCGATCCTTTTATCCATGAAAGTGCCTCCCTCACTGCAATCGCCTCTGCCATGAAAGAATCACACACACCAGCATTGTATCCACCTTTTGCCGCCACAGAGGTACCGGTTTGGTCTCGTAGAACTGCACCATATCCTATTCCGTTTGAGAAAACCGCGGCGTCAACATTGCATTTCAAACTTCCTCGTGGTGGTGGATTCCATCGATTCATAATGCACCATATCCTATTCCCTAAAAACGACGTCGTTTTGGACTCGTGTCCACAATGCATTGTGGACACAAGTCCACAGCATAATTTGCGCTTGCTAATCTTGTTTCTATCAAAATGCATTCATACTTTGGAAGAAAAATTTTGTGGTTAGATTCTGCTTTATTATATATAAAGATATAAAGATTATTCTTTTCAAAAATAAATTATTATATATATATGGAGTGGATCAGGTGCAAATATAACTTTCCATGCGATTCTACATTTAACACAAAAAGACGCACATTAAGCAT